GCTTAGATGATTTGTTTTTTTCTTCGAAATATAGGCTTCAGATAAAGAAATCTGGATTTTGAAGAATGAAAAATCTATTTGTGACATATTATCTTGTAATGACATAAATTTCATTGAAACCAAGATAAATTTTTGAAAAGTATCATTTTTCATGAAACTGATCATCAATTTAAAAGGTCTAATATTTTCTTTATTGACAGTTTTGTGAGCAATTGTTGGAATTACGGTTCTGGAAAAGAATTCTTTTTAGTAATCGCAATAGGAAACTTCTCCTCTTTCGAACTGTATATAACTTATTTTTATCAGATATTCATTAACAGAATGGCATGTGAAAAAGTACATACACTCTAAAAATAATTTTGTACTTTTCGTATATGTCACCAGAATGACACGAAACGTGGACTATTACACAGTACACAATTTTTGATAGACACATGGACATTTGGTTTCAAAGCACTCAAATACAAATGTTTTCTACATGTACTGTTTCTTATGGAGTGATTACCGAAGATCAGAGGTACTTAAAAATAGGTTCTTCAGAGATCAAAAGTGGTCTAAAAATACCTAGTTCTGATTTGAAAATCATTTCTTATAGGGTTTGAGTACGCTAATTTCGAATCTAGCAATGGAGAGATTTTTCAGAATCTTCTAGAAGATTTTCTGAAAAATCACATTCCATTGAATACTTAAATATGTCCACATTTTCGAGAGAGAAATTCTCTAAAATTTTGGATGTTGTTATTACAGGTTTCAAGAACTTTCTCTGATCACTCACTCAGTTAGATAGAGTTCCTTTTCTGAATCAGTTCTGCAGAATGAAAAATCAGAGAATGAACTCTCATGGAATATTCAATCGATGGAAGTTTTTTAACAACTGACACTGCCAAGTCCATAGTTAGTTGTCTAAATTTAACAATATTGATTAGTTCAGTGGTCAACACCAGTCAAAGTATTACAGAATAATATTGCAAAAACTTTTTGGAAGGTTTTCGATAATTCAAGGGAACGGTTTCAATTATAGCATCTCTCACAAGAGAACATCCCCAACTATCCCTCGCTTTTGGATTGAGTATATGCCCAAACGATAGATCTCAGTGAGTTATTAAACACTCTACAACAGTTTAGTTTCCCAGGCCTTCTGAGCAGAGATATACAATTATTACTGTTACTAATATCGCGGCACCAGAAGGAAGGTTTTCTCCACTATTGTAAAGACAAAACATAGTGTTATTCGGGTTGATTATGGGTTTTTTAGGGATCCTCTTTCATATGGCCTGAAGGATACCATGTTTTGTCCTTATAATACCAGAGCGAATTCTTTGGTGATTGATAGAAAACGTCGTTTTCTATGAGCTACAGAAAAATTCACTCTACCATTATAAGAACAAAACATGGTGTTGTTCGGACCATACGAAAGAGGATCCTTGATAACCCCCAAATTGGCCTGAATAACAATTTGTTTCGTCCTTATAATAGTAGAGTGAATTTTTTCTGTAGCTCATAGAAAACGACGTTTTCTATCAACCACCAAAGAATTCGCTCTACTATTATAAAGAGAAAACATGGCATCCTTCTGGCCATATGAAAGAGGGTCCCTAAAAAACCCATAATCAACCCGAATAACACTATGTTTTGTCTTTACAATAGTGGAGAAAACCTTCCTTCTAGTGTCGCGATATTAGTAACAGTAATAATTGTATATCTCTGCTCAGAAGGCCTGGGAAACCAAACTGTTGTAGGGTGTTTAATAACTCACTGAGATCTATCGTTTGGGCATATACTCAATCTAAAAGCGAGGGAACGGTTGGAGATGTTCCCTCGTGAGTCTTTGACTAGCGTCTGCCACGATCTGTGATGGGTTGAAACAGAATATCCAGACTGTCTGTCACTTTTGTGATGGATCACTAGAGATTTTTCAGGATTTTTCTCATCTCTGTGACGGAATAACTAAATAAGTACTAATTAAATTTTAATTAGTCTGTTAGCTCATTAATTAATTAGTTGCTTAATTAGTTGCCGAATTCTTTCATGATTTAATTAATTGGAACACCAGTCACCTATGTAGAGAAAAAGAACAACGAGAGTAAGCCCAAAATTTCTACCCCGTACACTCCAACACTACTTTTAGATCGTCTTTTACAAAAATATCTTTTTATTTATCGTGTAGGCATGGTACTAATAAAATGTTTATTACTGTAGATGAGAAAATTCTAGAATATAGCTGTAACTTTATCTGAATTATAAAACGAATATTTCAAAAATTATTGTTCGCTGGTGAAGAATCTTTAACCTTTTAATTAATTGTGCTCAAAAACTTGTTTAGCTGTTCTTTTATAAGTCGACGATTAAAGCATACTTTTAATACGATGTTAAAAAGCAACAGTATATCGTTTTATTGTCTCATTACTATAACTTTACAAATAGGTTTTTGTACTAAAATAGTCGGTTTCTTCTCAGAAATGCTAAAAAAGATGAATTTTCAATTTAAAATTAAACTTTGAAACAGGACGAATCTCAATAAGGATAGTTTATTGCAAACATTTCAGATCTTTTGGTTGTTTGTATATCAAGATAGTGTCATAGTAAAAGTATCCTTCAAAAATTGATAATATACAATAGCAGATTCTGATACTCTTGTTGCAAGAAAAGCAGCAACAGAAACATCTAAAATTTTGATAAGAGACTATTTTCATCAAGGTGTTTCTCTATAGAAAACTTCAAGATAAAATTCAGCATTATTTTTCCAATGATTCTGACTGGAACAGTAGCATCGAACTAAAAAAATATGGCGAATATGTAATATGCGGAAAGCAACAAGCTACCGACATGAATTATTATCAGAATTTTCATAGTTTTTTAGAACTTATACAATTTACTAAGTCATTATTAAAAAACAAATTGGTGTTTACGAACGTTTCTTTGCTTCATTATAATAAAGAATTTCATCGTTTATAATTTTTCAAATAAATCAAAGCTTGTTTTAATAATCATCAAGAGATTGAGAACAAAAACGAAAAATTTATTTCGATATTTTTTCATGCTGAAAAAATGTTACTCAATCATTTAAATATGAATCGAAGATAATAATTCAATTCGATAGTATATCAGTTAAGAAAACCATTCATTATTATTAACACATTTTTGGAGATAAATCATCGTGAAAATGATTGATTTAGGAATTAGAATTGAAAATGTCAACATCAGTTTCTTAGCTAATTATAAGAAAGAGTAGCTATTAAAACTGAAAGATTTTTAATTGAATACTTATTCTATCAGAAATCTAACTCAAGAGGATAAGATAATAATCAAAAGATTATGAAAGCAGGAGTGAAGATATAACTGGGAATAATCACTAAGTTTGCTATACCATAGTTCTCGTTTAATGTAATTAGAGTAAATTATTTTTTTATCGAAAAATAAATCTAGTGCTATCAAAAACTTCTACGACGATAAATCATTGCATTACCTTGGATATTTCTATCATTCAGAATAAATCAAAGCTTATAAAATAATACCGTTCTCTTACATCTAATACGTTTGTTTTCCAATCAATTTTTTTCTTTTACAATTAAAATGAAATAATATTTCATAACTCAATTAGAAAAAATGAATACGGTAAGTGCATTTTAGACTTTATCCTATCATTAAAACATATTGAAACGACTGTTTGAAGAATTCAGTTGAAGTATGATAATGAAGAAAATGTAAAATCATTTATAAATAGATATGCGCGGCAGCACTGTTGAACAGAAGTTCTTATTTTTATTTTTAATAATTATTGTAATAAATCAATACTACCGTTATTTAGTTTATATTTTGCTTATTTGACGAAATAACTATTACTATAATTTTCGCAGACACTTACAAAACGTTTTTTATGTAATCTTAATATTTTTAATACTAGAGTTTTTGTTGATGTTTAATCTTTAATCGTTCTACTCATTTCATATATTATGCTATTTCTATAATTGATAGTACAACTATCTTTACTTTTTTATTGAAATATAATAAAGTTTTTTATATGAACAGAATACAAAAACAGGTTTATTCTTTGATTAAATCACAAAATTTTAAACAAAGAAAAATAAATACTCTTCACATAAATGTATTTACATGTGAAAAAAAAACAAAATTACAGAAGGAAAATTTTCGTCTAATTTTCTTTTCTACCTTTCATCTATTGTAAATAATTCTTTTAATTGATCATATTCAACAGAAATTGTTTCATTAATGATAAAATACAACATTTTGTTTGATAATATAAACATATAAGAAACGAAGCATCTGTTAAAGTATTTTCATTTATTGATAATGAAGACATATATATACTTGATAATAGCAATCAATACTTGCATATGATCGATATCTCTATTGATAAGTATTGTTTTTCATTTCGTATTGAATCATTTTTGGTAATTAATCGGTGTTTTCTTAATTGAGATTTTTGAAGTTCAAAATGATTCACGAAGACCAAGAGAAAGTAGAATAAACAAGTAATTCAATCTATACGATAACTAGTAAAAAGATTAAACCAATAGAAGAATTGAATAATGTACAATCTAATTGATTAAATATTGAATTGAAAAAGAAGTTTTTTTTTCACATAAGAATTGTTTTGTAAACCTAATACACCATATTCGGATTGTACGCAAATATGGATTTTTTTGTTTAAGTTTTTTGTTTTTTAGAAGTTGTTGAATATACAGCTGTTCGTTTTGCTGATGTTCTACAAACAAAAAACAAATACAGTTAGTGAATGTATTCACTTCAAAAACTTAGAAGTGGAATTCTATTAAAATCTTTCTGCATTACTCATGAGCAAATAAAGCTTACCGCATTACTTCAATTAAATTCTGTGTTCCCATGTCGTGAAAATCACGTCACTTTTGACGAGTAATCTCGATTGAATTTTTAAGTTTACATAACTTACTCTCCAAAAAAAGAGATGTAGTCAACGTTTTCGATTTTCGACAAGCAATCTGAATACCAGTTTGATTTAACTAAAATTGAAATGTTTCATCATGGATGTCTGCTGAACCAATAAAAATAGATTTAAAAAGAACAGCAAAATATCTTAAACGAAAATACAGTCGATGTTCGTCTACTGACGAACGTCCTTTATGAATGATTTGAAAAAAATTTCATTAAGTGTATTGTTAATAAAAAAAAAAGAATTCATTTGAAAGATGGTTATAAACCGTGAAAAAGTAATCTTGGACTTAAAATGAAATAATTCAATGTAAAATGAATACTTTAGGAATAGTGGCATATAGCAGTCTACAGTTTAGAGTAATCAAAAGAGAATTGAGAGCATCTTTTCATAGGTGCAATATATAAGAATGAACTGCTGCAAAATATTATTGAGATAAACGTTTCACATGTACGATAATTTTGTGTGATTCTGATGAACTTTTAAGAACAAGTGACAACAACTTGTATTCAAATCATAACGATTATCTAATTACAGATGGAATAGATACTTAAAATAGTTTGATCATCATTACAAAACTAGATGATAGTTGCCTACGATTTACATCCGATAATATGTATGAAGTGTCAGGACAGGTGTACTTACATTTAGTTTTGCCTGTTCGGAGCTCTTCCATTGCATTACCAAAAAAATAACAAAAACCAGATTGACTAAAAAAAAATGCTTGTGAATATTGCCAGCAATCAAATTGTTAACTTACAATGACAACGCGTTTAATATTTCATCATCATTTATGTTGCATCCGAGATCCTTTAGACGTTGAAGATCAGTTAAAGTATCTAAAGAAAACTTCAGTTTAGTGAACAAGCAACAAGGCTCTATTGATTAGTGTTTTGTTAGAATATACAGAGCAATGAGGTAAAAATAAAAGTAACTATTCTTAACAGATCTTTATTTCTGTTTCGAACAATTAATTGCTCACCTTTATAATTTCCAAGTGCAAAATGTGCTTGACATCGATGTTTTAACAAGCGAATAAGAATTGGCTTATTTTTTTCGCCAACTGGAGCTGGATACCGATCAATTATTGTATTAAGTGCCTAAAGGTATCAATAGCAGTCGTTATTAATTACAATAATTCTGCGCACTTACTTGAATAGCTTCATTAAAATTTTCATTGTCAATGGCGTCGAGAGCATTCACAAAAAGATCTAACGATTTAGACATTTCTGGAAGAAAATAAAAGAAATCAGTATTTTGTTTGAAATAAATTTTTTCGAATGAATGTTTGTGAAGTCAAATAGTATACTATTATATATTATACTTAGACAATAGAAAAATTATCGGCAATGGTGTGAATGAAATACAATATAGACGGACGTGTGATCATAGCCATGTCATCTATTTTCGTATTTGTTTAATGAACATACCAATCACAAGACGAATGTTATATCGAGTGTTATGTTGGAGGACAGACTAAAATGTATACATTTATGTTTTTCTGCTATACATTGAGAAAACACGAGATAGGTCAATACTCTTTTATTATTATACAAAAAGAGAAAAAAAAACTTAAGAAAAGTTATGAATTATCTTTATTTGTTGGTAGAGAGACGAATGTTGATGAAAAATAATAAAATTAAATATTTCATTATTTAGAGAGAAGAAAGAAAAACGTATAAGGAGAAAATGCAAGGGAGAAAAAGCAGACGTGTGTACTTCAGAACAGAGATGTGCGGGGCATTGATTTTTCATGCCCCGCGGGGCCCGCCCCGCAAAACTCACAAACCCGCCCTGTCCGAACCCCGTAGATATTCTTTTTGAGAATCCCCGCCCCGCCTGTGCCCCGGCAAATCTATACCCGCTCCGCCCGTACCCCGCACAGGCAGCTTCTTGGATCGGCCCGCTCGACCCGCCTTTTTGTGACGCGCCCCGATCCGTCCCCGTGTAACCCGAAGAAATTTTTTATTTACCAAATACTTTATTTTTAATGATGCATTCCTTTTATGAATAATCATTTTTTACAAAAACAAAACTCAAGTCTATATGAGATGGTTTTGAATGATTCACTTTGTGATTGTCGACAAGCACGTGTTTTTCTGGTTGTTCTTTTAAAAACATTTTTATATTTGACTAATTACATTTAATATTACTCGATGAGCAATGACTGAGAGATGAAGAAATAATTGTAGATGAACGATCAGTATTCGACGAAGCTGTCCTATCAAGTGATTCATCAGGAGATAAATCATGTAATTCGATCATACTTAGGTCTGACCAAAAGTTCTGGCAACATTATATATAAATATAAAGATAAGTAGGCATCTTTAATTTTATTTTATCAAATATTGAGGACAGTTGCTATGATTATTTATACCAAGTTCGATCCTTTCCAACAATTTGTCAAAAGTTTTTTTCGAAAAAATTTTTAGATATCTTAGATATCGCACGAGCTTATCATGTTTCATTTATTTAATCAGTTAAACTCCATTTGATAGAATTAGTTAGCGAAAAGTTACATAGTATCAGGCCTGGCGAATATGATAGATATGATATTATCTTGATGCCTTCTTCTGTGATGCAATTAATAACATTAGATGAGTATGAAGTCAACGATGACCGTCCAGCAATTTTGTACATTTTGAACATGATGTCTCTGTTTGTTTTCATATTTCATTAATAAAATGTTTTGGAGAGTTTTCAGCATAATACTTGTGACTTACAGTCTTACCTTTATCTACATCCAGGAGTATTTGATTTAAAGAATATACCAAACAAAGCATTTTCTAAAATCTTTATTCATGAACAACAGTCTTTAACGATTCATCTTCAATAAGCCAGCCAGCATCGGATAACTTATGACTGACCTATCTAAAATAAATCTATATCTCATCACTAGCAGTACTAGAATGCAACTGATATGATCGAACAAGATTTTGCTAACTTTTCACAATAAATAAAATATGATTAGCTCATGCGGTATCCATGATACCTAAAACTTTTTTCGAAAAAACTTCAAAAAAGTTCTAACTGATCGCTGGAAAGGATCAAACTTGGTATAAATAATCATGGCAACTGTCCTCAAAATTTGATAAAATAAAATTAAAGATACCTCCTTATCTTTATATTTTTATATAATGTTGTCAGAACTTTTGGTCAGACCTAAGTAGTAATTCACAAAAAAATTCAAACGATAATTCTAAATATAAAATAAGTTTTAGTCCAGTTATTCACTTAATATAAATTGATAGTAGAAGTTACGTATGGCAGACGATAAAGAAAGAAACAAACAAATGGTAGACAATCTTGTACATAATAGGATGAAAGTAATGAACCAATCAATATGTACTTTGTACTACATACCTATACTAAGGACATCCCGTAATAAGTTTTGACAATCTTTCATCACACCCGAAAAAAAATGTTTACCCGCCCGAACCCGTGTATCTCATACCCGCTCCGCCCGAGACCCGTGTCATTTAAAAAAATTATTCCCCGCCCCGCCCGCCCGTGTGCCGGAAAATACCCGTGCCCCGTTAATCCCGCGTTTAATTAAATTTTTCTTCCCCGCCCGCCCGTCGCCACGTGGCCCCGCGGGGTGAACCCCGTGGACCGCACATCTCTGCTACCTACTATAAAAATACCAGCCAAATCGGTGACATTGATTGGGCAAGGGTCTGCTTGAATTGGTCGTGGCTTACCTGCAATGCCTCCTAGAGATATATGTCCCATTTGATTTATGTGTGTAGTTTTAAAAAAGAAGTTAATTTCAAATCTTAATAATGGACCAGCTATTCGATTCCATCTATTGTAGAAAAGTCATTAAAAATCAGTCAGCTAAAGCTTTATCGTGTTTTCTTGCCTCAAATGTCTTTCATGAGCATTTTAAGTCATTATTTTGTGCAATAGTGTCTCAAATATTCGCTCCACAATGGCGCAGAAGCATTATAACATCGTAATCAGCAGATATTGATTCAACTTCGCTTTACCTAAGTATTGATTTTGTTGCTTTTTGAAAATGAGATAAAAAATCCATAGTTTACAGTCTACAAAGTGCTTCGTCCGTTGATTTTATATGAAAATTTTTTTATGACAGTAAAAGCAACTACTCAAGTATACCTTGAGCAAACACTCCATTTTTCCCGATAAAAACGTAAAAAGAAGGTAGATAGAACAAGAAACTTTTGTTTGGTCTCTGCCGATGATTCATGGAATGCAAATATCACACATAATCTCTACCTGAAAAATAGAAGTAGACTTATTATGCTCACCTTACTTTCTCTCAAATACGGAAACATCAGACAATGAGAGTGCGAGTGTCACAGTTGAGATAAAGAAAACGAGATTGCATTGATATTCTGTATTTATTATAAGTAAGCATCATATTAAACAGCACCATAATACTTTTATAAACTTTTACTGCCACACAGCAGTTGATTCATTACTTCTACAGCGTGAGAATCCAAATAAGGATGTACTAAGGGTGAGGGATAGGTAGTTGAATGACAGAGTGTGTTTAGGTACGGCAGATGCGTGAGTCGCCTCCTTATTCTCCCATATACAAACACCAGTCTCCAGATCTACTAACCCCCACACCAATGCATCCGAAATGTATCGCACTGCATGAGGGTGTCAAAGAACATTGGTAGTAAGTAGGCCACTGAATCCGAAGGACATCACTGAAAGTGTGGATGTGAACGAAGAAAACATCCGCGTCCATCTTTCATCCTCAAAATTTTTTAAGATCTTCTCTGCCATTTCTAAATACAGTTGCACCCAACTCAGGTAATTTATCTTTAAAAACACATAGTATGTTTTTGGTTTGATGATCCGGATAACTCTTGCAATGAAAATTGTGTCGGTATGTGTTGCCAATTCTGTGTCGGACTTCTAAGGTGACGTAAATTCGAGAATAGTAGACTCGCTTAATTCTTGTCAACCAAACATAGCTTTCAAGAAATTCAATTAACATTATTCAGATGAAAGTATCTAAAGGTTCTCAATTAATGTGCTAGTTTACCGTCAAACATCCGTTTTCTAGTTTGAATTAGTCTGCAGTCCTAACTTTTTTCGTAATATTTTTATATATTAACCAAAAGATTATCAATTTAGTAACTACCCAGGTCGATCAATCCGATAGTCGGATCTTATCGGATCCGATAGGTGTCCTACAGGTATCCGATAGAATAATATCAGATTAGACAGGAATCCGTGAAACGGAATCACGTCGGATCCCGTCAGTAGTCGGATCCGATCGGATCCTATAAGAGATCCGACAGTTGGAGCCGATAGTATTCCAAGATCGTTATCTAATACTGATAAAATGAATGCTAATAAAATTTGCAGCAATTAAGATTCATCGGACGGGAATCCGACGTGATTCCGTTCCACGGATTCCTGTAGGATTTTGTCGGCTGGTCGGATCTTACAAGATCCTATGAGATCCGGTATCGGATTGATGGACCTGGGTAATTAAGCCATTGTGTAGAAGAAAACTTGCTTTAAATAACGCAATAAAATTCTTCTGATCTTGAAATATTTACCATGCAAAATATTGATTATATTAAAAATATTTACGCATGTTTTCTTAGCTATCTTAACTGTCTTCATCATTCCTGTTACTTCGGTTGCTTTCTGTGTCTTTAACGCTACATTGTTCTTCATCGTTATTATCGTTTTCGCTGTTATGTTGGTTTTCATTGTTATCATCACTTTGGTTAAGATTACTCTTAAACTGGTCTTCAGGAACCGGGCTGCTCGTAGGTATGGTCATGCCTAAACGACCAAGCGAGTTTACGGTTGATTTCATTAAATTAATCGGAGTAGTCATGCTGAACATCTGAGATATAGTCGACCCTAATGCTTCTTCTGCAGTAAAGGCTTTCAGTTCTATTTCGACAACACTGCTAGGGCTAATCCGATCAATTTTTGTCACCACAAATATAGATAGAGGTAGAATTAGCACCTCTGCTTCATTCGGATACTCAGAAATGTCTGCTAAATCAATACATAATGTGTTGGTAGTATCCATAATAAATGTGAACAAAGCAGACATTCTTCCAGATTCAGGTGTGTTAGCAAATGTTTCAGCAACTAAACGTAGCTTTGATGAAGACGAGAAAGTCTTTTGAACAACGAGTGAATTGACTTTGTAAAGTGCCAAATCATGCTGTGTGATAGTAAGTCCACGATATGTGCGACCACAAAAGCATTTTAAAGGTGATCCA